TTCACCTCATATATAATCATGGTCTTTGCAGAGGTGCCCAGAACACAACAGTTTAGACACATGTACGTATAAAGATACACAACATACCCCTCCAAACTGCCAATATCCCAAACCTCTCCTTTAAAGTGCAGGCATTGTAATTCCCATTTCCAGTACTCAAGTCCGGCTATATAAAAATAAATTAGACACATGTGCAACTCTTGGGTATCTTTATTGAGGAAACGTTTCGCCACACAGTGGCTTCATCAGTCCATACATAGGAGAAACTTGAAGAACAGGAGGAGAATGAGGTAATCAGTCCCTCAACCTTGAGTCGATGTGTTCAGTCCATCAATCTTGAGTAGAATACGGCAGATGAGCGGAGAAGCAGCTTATAAACCGTATGGCAGGAGAGGTGTAGCAGTCATAGGTAGTGTCACATTTGTTCAATGTGGAAGTAGGTTGTGCCCAAGAATTAGGCAAGCGAAGAATTCCTAAGTATTAAGATCCCAAGAAGTTGCAGTGTCTGACAGGTTTGTAGATGAATGGTTCAGAGAACCATTGATGGACTGAACACATGGACTCAAGGTTGAGGGACTGATTACCTCATTCTCCTCCTGTTCTTCAAGTTTCTCCTATGTATGGACTGATGAAGCCACTGTGTGGCGAAACGTTTCCTCAATAAAGATACCCAAGAGTTGCACATGTGTCTAATTTATCAACATGTCGGTTCTCTGAACCATTCATCTACAAACCTGTCAGACACTGCAACTTCTTGGGATCTTAATACTTAGGAATTCTTCGCTTGCCTAATTCTTGGGCACAACCTACTTCCACATTGAACAAATGTGACACTACCTATGACTGCTACACCTCTCCTGCCATATGGTTTATAAGCTGCTTCTCCGCTCATCTGCCGTATTCTACTCAAGATTGATGGACTGAACACATCGACTCAAGGTTGAGGGACTGATTACCTCATTCTAGTCCTGTTCTTCAAGTTTCTCCTATGTATGGACTGATGAAGCCACTGTGTGGCGAAACGTTTCCTCAATAAAGATACCCAAGAGTTGCACATGTGTCTAATTTATCAACATGTCGGTTCTCTGAACCATTCATCTATATAAAAATAACTGGTTTCTCTGAATCCCTTCACTAAATATTACCCTGCTCACACTCCAACAGCTCGTCAAGTCCCAAAAACCATTCGTCTCCATTCATTCCTATCTAACATGCTTGTGCATGCTTGCAGAAAGTCCAAGCCCCTCGCCCACAAAACCTCCTTTACCCTCTCCCTCCCTCCAACCTTTTCGAGGACAGCTCCTACCCTGCCTTCCTTCCCCTACAGATTTACATGCTCTCCATGTCATTCTACTTTGATCCATTCTCTCTAAATGACCAAACCACCTCAACAACCCCTCTTCAGCCCTCTGACTAATACTTTTAACTCTATACCTTCTCCTAATTTCCACACTCTGAATTCTCTGCATAATATTTACACCACACATTGACCTTAGACAGGACATCTCCACCACCTCCTCGCTGCAACATTTACAACTCAAGCTAAACACCCATATAAGAGTGTTGGTACCACTATACTTTCATACATTCCCTTCTTTGCCTCCATAGATGATTTTTTCTTGTCTCCACATATACCTCAATGCACCACTTACCTTTTTTCCTTCATCAATTCTATGGTTAACCTCATCCTTCATACATCCATCCGCTGACACGTCAACTCCCAAATATATAAAAACATTCAGAATAGTTTTAAAAATACAGTATTAGATTGTGGGGCAGAAGTTTGTGGTTATAGGAGGGTGGGGGCAGGAGGAAAGAGGAGTGATTGGTGGAATGATGAAGTAAAGGGTGTGATAAAAGAGAAAAAGGTAGCTTATGAGAGGTTTTTACAAAGCAGAAGTGTTATAAGAAGAGCAGAGTATATGGAGAGTAAAAGAAAGGTAAAGAGAGTGGTGAGAGAGTGCAAAAGGAGAGCAGATGATAGAGTGGGAGAGGCACTGTCAAGAAATTTTAATGAAAATAAGAAAAAATATTTTGGAGTGAGTTAAACAAGTTAAGAAAGCCTAGGGAAAATATGGATTTGTCAGTTAAAAACAGAGTAGGGGAGTTAGTAGATGGGGAGATGGCGAGAATATTTTGAGGAACTTTTAAATGTTAAGGAAGAAACAGAGGCAGTAATTTCATGCATTGGTCAGGGAGGTATACCATCTTCTAGGAGTGAAGAAGAGCAGATTGTAAGTGTGGGGGAGGTACGTGAGGCATTACGTAAAATGAAAGGGGGTAAAGCAGCTGGAACTGATGGGATCATGACAGAAATGTTAAAAGCAGGGGGGATATAGTGTTGGAGTGGTTGGTACTTTTGTTTAATAAATGTATGAAAGAGGGGAAGGTACCTAGGGATTGGCAGAGAGCATGTATAGTCCCTTTATATAAAGGGAAAGGGGACAAAAGAGACTGTAAAAATTATAGAGGAATAAGCTTACTGAGTATACCAGGAAAAGTGTACGGTAGGGTTATAATTGAAAGAATTAGAGGTAAGACAGAATGTAGGATTGCTGATGAGCAAGGAGGTTTCAGAGTGGGTAGGGGATGTGTAGATCAAGTGTTTACATTGAAGCATATATGTGAACAGTATTTAGATAAAGGTAGGGAAGTTTTTATTGCATTTATGGATTTAGAAAAGGCATATGATAGAGTGGATAGAGGAGCAATGTGGCAGATGTTGCAAGTATATGGAATAGGTGGTAAGTTATTAAATGCTGTAAAGAGTTTTTATGAGGATAGTGAGGCTCAGGTTAGGGTGTGTAGAAGAGAGGGAGACTACTTCCCGGTAAAAGTAGGTCTTAGACAGGGATGTGTAATGTCACCATGGTTGTTTAATATATTTATAGATGGGGTTGTAAAGGAAGTAAATGCTAGGGTGTTCGGGAGAGGGGTGGGATTAAATTTTGGGGAATCAAATTCAAAATGGGAATTGACACAGTTACTTTTTGCTGATGATACTGTGCTTATGGAGATTCTAAAGAAAAATTGCAAAGGTTAGTGGATGAGTTTGGGAATGTGTGTAAAGGTAGAAAGTTGAAAGTGAACATAGAAAAGAGTAAGGTGATGAGGGTGTCAAATGATTTAGATAAAGAAAAATTGGATATCAAATTGGGGAGGAGGAGTATGGAAGAAGTGAATGTTTTCCAGATACTTGGGAGTTGACGTGTCGGCGGATGGATTTATGAAGGATGAGGTTAATCATAGAATTGATGAGGGAAAAAAGGTGAGTGGTGCGTTGAGGTATATGTGGAGTCAAAAAACGTTATCTATGGAGGCAAAGAAGGGAATGTATGAAAGTATAGTAGTACCAACACTCTTATATGGGTGTGAAGCTTGGGTGGTAAATGCAGCAGCAAGGAGACGGTTGGAGGCAGTGGAGATGTCCTGTTTAAGGGCAATGTGTGGTGTAATATTATGCAGAAAATTCGGAGTGTGGAAATTAGGAGAAGGTGTGGAGTTAATAAAAGTATTAGTCAGAGGGCAGAAGAGGGGTTGTTGAGGTGGTTTGGTCATTTAGAGAGAATAGATCAAAGTAGAATGACATGGAAAGCATATAAATCTATAGGGGAAGGAAGGAGGGGTAGGGGTCGTCCTCGAAAGGGTTGGAGAGAGGGGGTAAAGGAGGTTTTGTGGGCAAGGGGCTTGGACTTCCAGCAAGCGTGCGTGAACATGTTAGATAGGAGTGAATGGAGACGAATGGTACTTGGGACCTGACGATCTGTTGGAGTGTGAGCAGGGTAATATTTAGTGAAGGGATTCAGGGAAACCGGTTATTTTCATATAGTCGGACTTGAGTCCTGGAAATGGGAAGTACAATGCCTGCACTTTAAAGGAGGGGTTTGGGATATTGGCAGTTTGGAGGGATATGTTGTGTATCTTTATATGTGTATGCTTCTAGACTGTTGTATTCTGAGCACCTCTGCAAAAACAGTGATAATGTGCGAGTGTGGTGAAAGTGTTGAATGATGATGAAAGTATTTTCTTTTTGGGGATTTTCTTTCTTTTTTTTGGGTCACCCTGCCTCGGTGGGAGACGGCCGACTTGTTGAAAAAAAAAAAAAAAAAAAAAAAAAAAAATCACTTCTTCCATACTCCTCCTCTCCAATTTGATATCATGTATCTATGTTATTTATATTGTTTATTATGTCATAGTAGATGAATTGGGTAGATAAATAAGCCATAGAGTTGATATTAGTGTCATATTGAAGTATTTTGTCCTGCCTCCCAAGAGCAGGAATTCCGCTGGAACAGATTAATGGCATTTCAATTAATTTAAATGAGGAAAATTTATTTGATATACGAGCAAATTGAGTTACGAGCTAGTTCTTGGAACAGATTAAACTTGTAAGTTGAGGTTCCACTGCACTAAGAAAACAAGAAGGTTGGTGCTTTGTCTGCAAGACTGTTACTGAGGTTAAGGGATGCACAGGAAAAAAAGGCAAAACAGTACTAGTCTAGATAATAGGGGAACTAAATAAAGTTGCTAATTGATGCACAAGCATTATTTCGAACAATGAATATTAAGTCTGAAAAGTGTTTCAACATTGGGTCCTGTATTTTTTTCACTTAATTAAACTTCAGGAAATTCTGTAAAAACTGACACGCTTGGAACCGAGACCATGCCAATTTCTCTCAAAAAATCACACTTATGCCAATTTCTAAAGTGCACAGTTTAAAAAAGACAGAATATACTGGATAAAAATGAGTTGGGTGTTGATTTCTCAAAATTCGACCTGTTTGGGGTGGTTTATGAATGTGTTGGTTTCTAAAAAAAAAATTTTTTTAAGTGCCGGTTTTTACAGTTATTACTAAACTAGACAAACCATAGCATACAAGAGGCAGCACACAGTCTGTTTGTTCCCTGCCCTCTTCCATACACTGCAGTCAGCCTGGCCATCAGCACAACCCAGGGCGTGGGTGGGAGTGAGGAGGGAAAGAGGGTGGTGTTCGACTTACTGATCATCTGGAGTAAACTGTACAGGCTCAGCTGTAAACTGAGGATCAAAGTTTTCTAGGTCTCTTTCTCCATCTACTCGTGGCTTGTATGGTGGAAGGATCTGTTTTCTTTCAAGCTGAAAATAATCATTCCATCGATTGAGAAAAACTTATAAAAAGAGAATTTAAGAGGGGGCAGTAGAAAATTAAGTCTCAAGCTTACATCTAGAGGATCTACATTCTGAAAATAAATTAAATGATTTCATGATGAACAGAATAAGCCAGTAGCTTCGAAAAATTCAAGGTTCACCTGATAAAACAGGAAACAAATTCATTACCTAAATGTTAGAAGTTCTCAAACATTCAAAAACAAATTAATAATACAAAAGCTTATTGTTAATACAAAAAATTTATGGCAGCAGCAATAGTGCAAGAAAATAGGCCCCAATTTCTATCTACTATTAATGTATCAGCTCTGGGAGCTTCCCATGAGAAAAAAAAAAAAAAAAAAAAAAAAGCCCTTATGATGTATAAAAAAAAAATACCCAGTCATCAAAAATTACACTAGTGGCCAGCAATATACTTAAGACCTGTGCAGGATAGGCTAACACTACTTAAGTACATAATTTCTCCTCATCACATCCCACTTTTCCCATATGCTTCTTTTTATTTTTTTGCCTCTTCCAGTCCCCTTATACTCTCATAGAATATATTTATGTACTTGATCACTTTCCCTTCCATAATTGTTGCTTTGAACACTGCACAAAATTCTACTTCATTCATGTACAAGCTCACTGCAATTCTACCATCCTCTCCATGCATATGACTGGTTACATGTTTTCATACTAATCTTAACCAACAATGCTCTTATGTAAGATTACCAGTTTCTGTTCTTGCCTCTTCACCACCACCACCACTTACATTTACAAAGGAGGCACTCTGAGTATCCTTTATTAACCCTCTGAGGGCTCCAAGCCCAGCTCACTCAGATAAGTTGCGAGCGGTAAATTTGGGCCTAGATATGAGAGAATGCATCTGTGTGGTAAGTGTGCACCATATAAATGAAATCCTGCAGCATGCAACACACGAGGAAAAAAAATGTGACCATGTTTCTGGATTAAAACAGCAACTTTGCAGTGTATTTTTGTATGGATTTTACAGTTGTATTCACAGTTTTAGTTTCATTTGATAGAATGGAAGAAATATTACAGAAATTGAGATGATTTTGATTGGTTTTAGTATGAAAATAGCTTGAAATTGAGCTCAAAGTAGCAGAAATGTTCGATTTTGCCGATGTTCAAGAGTAAACAAATGATGTCACATGTCCAATACATGTCAACTGGTGAGTCCAATACACGTTCCAGAATGCGCTGACACTATTTATACAATTATTACAATATTGTGTAACAGTAAATCTTCTATTTTTTGGTGTGAATCTAATGTTGAAGGATCAGTTATGGAAGGAAAGGAGGGAATATAAATGTACAAATTCAAGGATTATGTGCATTAAAATAAGGGTCGGATGCAAAAAAGTGAGTCATAATGTGTATGCACCTGGAGAAGAGAGGAGTGTAGAGGAGAGAGATAAAAAAAAGAGAGCAAATGAGAGTGTGGGTGAGATGTTTTCAACAAATTTTGTTGGAAATATGAAAAAGTTTTGGAGTTAATAAGTTGAGGAAGCCTAGGAAACGAATGGATTTGATAGTTAAAAATAGGAGAGGAGAGTTATTAAATAGAGAGTTAGAGGTATTGGGAAGACAGAGAGAATATTTTGAGGAATTGTTAAATGTTGATGAAATTAGGGAAGCTGTGATTTTGTGTATAGGGCAAGGAGGAATAACATCTTGTAGGAGTGAGGAAGAGCCATTTGTGAGTGTAGGGGAAATTCGTGGAGCAGTGGATAGAATGAAAGGGGGTAAGGCAGCTGGGAGTGATGGGATAAGACAGAAATGTTAAAAGCTGGTGGGGATATAGTTTTGGAGTGGTTGGTGCTTTTATCTAATAAATGTATGGAAGAGGTTAAGGTACCTAGGGATTGGCAGAGAGCATGCATAGTTCCTTTGTATAAAAGCAAAGGGGACACAAGAGAGTGCAAAAATTGTAGGGAAATAAGTCTGTGGAGAATACCTGGTAAAGTGTATGGGAGAGTTATTATTAAAATAATTAAGAGTAAGACAGAGAGCAGGATAGCAGATGAACAAGGAGGCTTTAGGAAGGGTAGGGGGTGTGTAGACCAAGTGTTTACAGTAACAGTATTTAGATAAGGGTAAAGAGGTTTCTGTGGCATTTATGGATTTGGAAAAGGCATACGACAGGGTGGATGGGGGGCAATGTGGCAGATGTATGGAATAGGAGGTAGGTTATTGAAAGCAGTGAGGAGTTTTTATGAGGATAGTGAGGCTCAGGTTAGAGTATATAGGAGAGAGGAGATTATTTCCCAGTAAAAGTAGGCCTTAGACAAGGATGTGTGATGTCACCGTGGTTGTTCAATATATTTATAGATGGGGTTATAAGAGAAGTGAATGCTTGGGTGTTGGCAAGAGGCGTGGGGTTAAAAGATAAAGAATCTAACACAAAGTGGGAGTTGTCACAGCTACTCTTTGCTGATGACACTGTGCTTTTGGGAGATTCTGAAGAGAAGTTGCAGAGGTTGGTGGATGAGTTTGGTAGGGTATGTAAAAGTAGAAAATAAAAAGTGAATACAGGAAAGAGGAAGGTGATGAGGATAACAACAAAAATTAGGTAACAAAAGATTGGATATCAGATTGGAGGGAGAGAGTATGGAGGAGGTGAATGTATTTAGATATTTAGGGGTGGACGTATCAGCAGATAGGTCTATGAAGGATGAGGTGAATCACAGAATTGATGAGGGGAAAAAAGTGAGTGATGCACTGAGGAGTCTGTGAAGACAAAGAACTTTATCCATGGAAGCAAAGAGGGGAATGTATGAGAGTATAGTTATACCAATGCTCTTACATGGGTGCGAATTTTGCGACAATGAAAAGGCTGGAGGCAGTGGAGATGTCATGTCTAAGGGCAATGTGTGGTGTGAATATGATGCAGAGAATTTGTAGTTTGAAAATTAGGAGCAGGTGCGAGATTACAAAAACTCTTACCCAGAGGGCAGAGGAGGGGTTGTTGAGGTGGTTCAGACATGTAGAGAGAAGGGAAGGAAATAGAATGACTTCGAAAGTGTATAAATCTATAGTGGAGGGAAAGGCAGGGTAGAGGTTGACCTAGGAAAGGTTGGAGGGAGGGGGTAAAGGAAGTTTCATGTGTGAGGGGCTTGGACTTCCAGCAAGCATGCACGAGTGTGTTAGATAGGAGCGAATGGAAACAAATGTTTTTTTGGACATGAAGTACTGTTGGTGTGTTGGCAGGTTCCCTATCAGGATAGACTGAGGACCCTGAATCTGCACTCTCTCGAAAGGCATAGAATTAGGGGTGATATGATCGAGGTGTATAAATGGAAAACAGGAATAAATAAAGGGGATGTAAATAGCGTGCTGAAAATTTCCAGTCAAGACAGGACTCGCAGTAATGGTTTCAAGTTGGAAAAATTCAGATTCAGAAAGGATATAGGAAAGCACTGGTTTGGTAATAGAGTTGTGGATGAGTGGAACAAACTCCCGAGTACAGTTATTCAGGCTAAAACATTGTGTAGTTTTAAAAATAGGTTAGATAAATACATGAGTGGGTGTGGGTGGGTGTGAGTTGGACCTGACTAGCTTGTGCTGCTGGGTCTGGTGCAGTGCTCCATCCTTGAGTGGAGATGATCAGACTGGGTGGATCACTGGGCTAATCCGGGGGGGAATGGGCCTGCTCTGCATGGGTCAGTAGGCCTGTTGCAGTGTTCCTTCTTTCTTATGTTCTTATTTATGTAAGGATTTAGGGAAACCTGCAGGCCGGACTCAAGTCCTGGAGATTGGAAGTACAGTGCCTGCACTCTGAAGGAAGGGTGTTAATGTTGCAGTTTTATAACTGTAGCAGTGGCAGCTCGTCCATAGGAGTTGCAGAGCTGCAGCCCCCCAGATGTTCACTGCCAGACATATGACCTCATCAACCTTATGCTAAAATAATTCGCAACTGACAAATATATTACAAGAAAAATCTATTGTATGTTGTTTTCAATGTATTTATAAGCAAATTTTTAATTTTTTTGTTGAAGCAAGATAAAAAAAATTATTACAAACAGAAGTTTGATACGGTACGATAGTACATGTATAGGTATTACTGGCGTTACGAGCTGCCACTGAACTGTAGTGTAAGCGCGCCTCTGGCACGACAGTAATGGAGTGAATGATGGTTAAAAATTTTCTTTTTCGGGCCACCTACCTTGGTGGGAAACGGCTGATGTGTTAAAAAAAAAAGTAAAAATTCTTTATGTAAATAAAAAATCAAAATAGAATTCATCTGTAAAGCCTAGAAACATAACTAGTAAACAGAGGAAATGTTATTTTAGTGCCAGGAATGCCTGCATGGTTTATTCTGGATCCTATTTTGAAACTGGAATATTTTGAACTTTGTGTGAAATTGGCCAAATTACCAATTTCTGATCACTTTATTGGGAAGTTGAAATAGTTTATTGGGCAGTTTCTTGTGCTCAATCGATAAAACAGAAGTAATACTGGCGAAATAGCTAAGAATCTGATTGACTGGAATAATGTACAGTGGTACCCAGAGTTTCGAACTTAATCCGTTCTGAAGTCGAAACGTTCGAAACTCGAAGCAATATTTCCCATGAGAAATAATGTAAATACACTTAATCCTTTCCAGAAACCAAAAAATATTCACAAATAAATACATTTTATGGAGATTAATTATAGTTTTACATACACACAACATACATACATAGTACAATTAGTAATAGATAAACATTTAACCCTTTCAGGGTCGAGAGGCCCTCTCCTAAACTTGTTCTCAGAGTAGAAAATTTTTCGGAAAAAAAAAAAAAAAATTCTTATGAAATGAGAGAGAATCTTTTCCCGATCATAGACACACACTCAAGAAACAGCAACAACAACAAAAGAAGCCCAACCCACAAGAACCCACATATGCGGCTATCGCCAAGCTACAAATAGACACTACCAAGATCCTACACGCCATGCAAGCTGCCTCCACCACTTCCCTGCCAGCA